CTGTAGTCCACCAGATAGTGCCGTGGATGGTGAGGAATAGAGCTAGACCTGACCACCATAGGCCAGCTCCGCTACCAAGTTTGAAGGGGGCTGGGAGGCCCCGCCAACAGCTTCGCCTCAGGCGAAGCCAAGCTCCAGCTCGGTTGTACAGTAGTAGCGATAGACCCGATGCAAGAAGGGAAGCCATGTCAAGTAAAAGGGGATGCCTTTTAGTCTCGATAGCGATCGTGTGCCTCGCGGTGAGGCACACTAAAATCTAGGCGGCCGGCCGCTTTGAGCCAAGACGGCCGCGGGCGCACGCTCGCTTCCGTTCCTTACGTCCCCCAGCTCGCTTTAGAGTCAAGATGGCCTCCAAGACGGCCCAAGAGCCCTCCAAGACGTCCGCCAAAAAGGTCCGAAAGGGTCAAAATGGCCTCCAGGCGGCCAAGATGACCTTCAAGATGCCCTCGTGTTCCTCGAAGGCTTTCCAAACCGATTCGGAGAACACATGGTCCGATAGCTTGGCAGGTCTGGCCTCAACGTTCGGCCACATAGGCGCTTCCAAAAAGACGGTGGGCGGCGGCGATTCGCCGTAGGCGTTTTCGATCCGCCGCCCCCTGTTGGCTGGCCACAAGGGTGCCTGGCGTGCTAGATCCTCCTGGTTTGGTTTGGGTCCTCCCCCAAAAAAAACTCTCCCTGGGACTTCGGCCCGTCCCGCCGACCACCCGGAAGGGGCCGCAAAGCGCCGAATTCTCTCCAGAAGTATCCCAAGACGGCTCGAAGTGGCTTTCAAGACCGCCAAGATAGCCTCCAAGATGGCCTTCAAGATGCCTCCAAGATGGCCTCCAAGACGGCTAAGATGGGATCAAAATTATTCCAAGACGGCCCAAGATGCACCCAAGACGGCCTCAAGATGACGGCAGACAGCTCAAGAGGCCCCCACGAGGCTTCCAAGAGGCCCAAGAGGCTCCCAAGAGGGCCCCAAGGAAGGCCCGAAGAGGCCAAGATCATTGATGTTCCAATGGTTTTTGAAGGATTTGGGGATTTATTCCTTTTCGGCGTTCCGACGGCCCGAGACGTTCCAAGAACCCCAAGATCGCCCAAGAGGCCTCCAAGATGGCCCCAGAACGGCCCAAGCGGCCCCCAAGACGGCCCCCAAGACGGCCCCAAGCGGGCCTCCGATATGCCCCCAAAGGCCCTCAAGAGGTCCAAGGAGGCCCCCAAGATGCCTCCAAGAGGCCCTCAGGAAGCTCCCAGGAGGCCCCAAGAATGCCCCCAGAGGCTCCCAAGATACATCCTCCTCCTCCTTTTCCTCCTCCTCCTCCTCCTCCTCCTACTGATCCTGATCTTTCCCGCCATCCTCCCCCAAATGTTCCCCGAAGGCTTTCCACAACGGCTGGTGGAACACATGGTCGGATGAGCATCGTGTATCCGATCCCTGTCCCCAGCGGCGTGGCCTGGGCCCCACTGGCCGATTTACCCCCGGATATACAGGCCGTTCCCTTCGGGTTTCGAGGGGTGTATCCCCAACTGGGGGGGTAATATTTGGTGGGGGTCTCGAAGGGGACGGGGATGGGGATGGGGGTCGGTGAAACGATACTGGCCCGACAGCTTGGCGGAGCTCTTGCCGCAACGCGCGCGGCCACACGGGGGCGATATTCCAACCGGCAGGGGGGCGGCGGCGACTCGCCGCAGGAGGCGCTTTCGATCCGCCGTCCCCCCCTGTTGACTTCTCACAGGGGGCGTGCAAACATGGTTTACAGTCGGACTTGATTGGACAGGACACGCGAGAGGACACAAGACCCTTTCGAGAACCAAATTGCCAACGAACTGTCGGAGGCACGACCCGCGAGACACAGGACACAAGGGTACCCTTGATTTGGCGGGGTCGACCTACTAATCAGGGCCGACTGTAGCGAGCCATCGATTTGGCCCGCGGTCGCCAAATCCATGGATCGGGGGAGGTGCCTTCCCCAAAATGCGGTCGGTGCCGCCTCGTTCGGCGGCGGAAATCGAGACTCCCCATGAAAACGGGACCCGTCGCTAATCCACGCCCCCTTCAGGGGTCCCCGGCGTGCTGAACATCTGATGGCTGTTGGTTCTTTTTAGAATCCCCCTGGGGTTAGGTCGGGCATGTCCCCCTACAGGCGGATTTTGGGCGAGAAATTAAAAAATGCAACAACACAAAAAACTCTTAACTGATCAAAAGATACTTTGAAACATTATCCCCCGACTATTTTGACTAGTTTGGAATGTTCCTCCTGTAGAGGGACAGGCCCGACTTAACCCTGGGGCTTTGGTCCATTGCGCCGGCCACCCGGAACGGCCGCGCCAGCCGCACAAATTCCACCATGAAGAAACTGCCAAATCGCCTCCAAGACGGCCAGGATGGCCTCCAAGATGCTTCCAAGATGGCCCCCAGAGAGCCCCAGATGGCCCCCAAATGTACCCAAGACGGCTCAAAATTCACCCAAGATGGCCCAATATGGCCCACGAGGTCCCCAAGAGGCCTCTGAGACCGCTAAGATGTCCTCTAGGAAGGCCCGAAGAGGTCCCAACGATTGATTGTAATTTTCTGGTTTGTGCCAATTTTTGGCATTGAGTTCAAAACGGCCTTCCGACGGCCTAAGACGGCCCAAAACGCCCCAAAGATGGCCCCCAGAGCGCCCCAGAGCCAAGAGGCTTCCCACACGTCCACGATGGCATTCAAGACGTCCCTGCAGCGCCCCAACAGGGCCCCAAGACGGCCCAGAGAGGCTCCCAAGATGGCTTCCGACGGCGTCAGTTGGACAAGGATTGCCGTACGACAGCCAAAGAGGCCCCCAAGAAGGCCTTCAAGGCCCCCAGGAGGCCCAAGGAGGCCCCCAATAGGCCTCCAAGGGGCCCCTAAGAAGCTCCCAGGAGGCCGCAAGCATGACCCAAGAAGCTCCCAAGAGGTCACCTCATCCTTCTCCTCATCCTCCTTTCTCCTCCCTCTCCTCATCCGCCTCTTCCTCCCCCACGTGTTCCCCGAAGGGCTTCCATAGCGGCTGGGGGAACGCATGGTCCAATAGCGTGGCCAAACCTTGCTCAAACGTCTGGCCACATAGGCGAACCCTCAAAGGCAGAGGTCGGCGGTGAGTGGCCGTAGGCGTCTTCGATCCACCGACCCCTGTTTGCTTGCCACACGGGTGCACGCGTCCTGGACTTTGAATAGCTTCTGGCCCTTCATAAAGGGTCCAGGGAACCCACGATGACGACAAAATGTCTCCAAGACAGGCTGAGATCCCCTCGAGATGGCCTCAAGCTCGCCCGCACAGGCCCAAGAGGCCTGCAAAGACGGCCCACGAGGCATCCAAGAGGACATCCGGGAAGGCCTGAAGATGACAGAATCGACGACTTCCATTTGGCTTGGGGCATGTGGGCAATTGCTCATTTCTGGCCTTCCGACGGCCTAAGACGTCCCCAACGGCCTCCGAGATTGCCCCCCGACAATCAAAGAGGCCCCCAGCCGGCCGTGTGGGCCTCCACGACGCTCAAAATGGCATCCAAGACGGCGGCCCTGAAGCGCCCCACGATGGCCCCAAGCCGGCCCGAAAGAGGCCCCCAAGACGGCGTCAGACACGGGCCAGGAACGCCGTCAGACGGCCAAACCAAGGAGCCTCCAAAGGCCCCCCAAGAGGCCCGAGGAAGCCCCCAAGAGGCCCCCAACGGGCCCCCAGGAACCTCCCAGGACGCCCGAAAAGTGCCCCAAAGAGGCCCCCACGAGGCCCCCAGGAACCTCCCAGGACGCCCGAAGAGTCCCCCAAGAGGCGCCCCAGAGGCCTCCTCCTCCTCCTCCTCCTCCTCCCTTTTCCTCCCACTCCCTGTTGTCCGAAAGGTTTCCTCAACGGCTGGGGGAACAAATGACTTGGCCGAGATCTGCCCGCAACCTTCGGCCCCATGGGCGCTTCGAAAAGGCAGGGAGCGGCGGTACTCCGCCGTAGGCATCATCGATCCGCCGCCCCCCGTGGCTCGCCACAGAGGTGCGCGGCGTGCCAGACGTCAGGTGGATGGGTTCTTTCAAACAGTTCCAGTGGGGTCTCGGCCCAGCCCGCGGACCACCCGGAGAGACCGCAAGCTCCCCAAACAGTCTTCCCAAGATGGCCCAAGATGGCCCCAAAGACACCCCCAAGAGGGACAATATGGCCCCAAGGAAGCCCACGCTGGTCCCAAGATGCACTCACGACGGCCCAAGATGCACCCAAGGCGGCCCAAGGCCCTCAAGATGGCCCAAGATGGCTCAAGAGGCCCCCACGAGATCTCCAAGGCGGCCCAAGAGGCTTCTAAAATGCACTCCAGGAAAACCCGAAGAGGCAAAAGTCAGTGATGCCCTAAAGGTTCAAAGGATTTGGGGTTCCGTTTCGGCTCTCCGACGACCTAAGGCGGTCCAAGAGGCCCCCAAGATCGCCCCCAAGGCGCCAAAGATGGTCTCCAAGACGTCCCCGAAACGCCTCAAGAAGGCCCCAAGACGGCCCAGAGAGGCCCCCAAGACGGCTTCCGACGGCGTCCAACAGGCCAGGAACGCTGTCAGACTGCCATAGAGCAACAAACTCCCCAAAGCCGCCAAGAAACCCAAGGAGGCCTCCAAGAGGCCTCCAACAGGCCCCCAGGAAGCTCCCAGGAGGCCCCAGGAGTGCCCCAAGAAGCTCCCAAGAGGCCATTTCCTCTCTCTTTCCTCCACACCCTTCTCCTCCTCCTCCTCCTCCTCCTCCCCCTCCGCCCTTTCCTGAGGCTCCCCACTACTCGCCCCCAAATGTTCTCTGAAGGGATTCCGCGACAGTTTGGAGAAGACATGGTATCGGCCGTGCGCAACAGGGGGGTGGAGGGAGGGGGGAGGGCTTCTCAGGAGGAGGATGCTTCTTAGAAGACGCCAGCTTTACCCCCCTCTGCGCGTGGATGATGATAGTCCGATGGCTTGTCCAAGTCTTGGCCAGTGTTCGGCCACATCGGCGCTTCAAACAAGACAAATTGTACGGCGGTGGCTCGCCGTAGGTGTCTTCGAATAAAGATGACCCCACGCCTTCAGTGGAGGACTACCGACCAGCCGTCCCAGCCACGTGCCTTGAGCCAACTCGGCAGAGGAACGCACACCGTCGTGAGTGCGCATACGCATGCAGTGCGTGCGCACGAGCCTGCTGCCTCGATGTGCTGATTGCGTATCTGGTCCGTCTCATGCTGTTGGATCCCTGATTGTTCACGTCCCTGGACGACTGCATGTGTCTGTCGTTCCTTTCTCTGTGTTGCCTGCCTCCCTCAGGTCTCAATGAGTCAGCACAGGCGACCCTGTGCTTGGTCGCCCACGTATCTGCCCGACTGCGTGCATGCACTGCTCCTTACACGAGCCACGCGCGCTCAGGCCCTACCGCAGAAGAGAGAGAGGGCAGCGCCACGACAAGGAGAGAGGGTAGGCTCCGAGACGCCCCCGGAAGGCCACGGCAGCCGCTCCCGGGACTGGCGGCGTGCCAAGGAGGAGACGAAGCCAGGACGAGGATTTAATCGGGCGAGGACAGGTCGAGAATCTCTGAGATCCGGCCGCCCTGGAGAATGTTTCGGGCGCCGCGGCCTCCTCAGAGCGTTCCGGAACGCTCTGAGAGCGTTCCGGAACGCTCTGCAACGGATCGATCCTCGCCCCAGCCCCGCCCGACAGGAGGAGGGGGCGAGCGGACGGCCTTCTGGGAAGGCAGGTGGCCTCCTACGAGGGCTTGGAGGCCTCCAAGCAACCCTCTGAGCAAGACACGAGGGCCTGCAACAGGAGCAACAAACAAAACATGCCTCCTCACGAGGCCGCCTCCCCGTCGCGCCACCGCCTCCTGCGCGCCAGGCGCCGCGAGGAGCCCCAAAAGAACCACATCCGTATCCAGTGGGGGGTGGGGGGCTGTCCTCCTCCTCCTCCTCCTCCAGTGGGCTTTCGGGGAAGGGGCGCCAAAAGGCCGAGGCGCACCAGCCATGGACAAGCCTCGGACCTCTGAGGGTCGATGCCTCACCCACGGCCAGCGCGGCGGGTGGGCTTCGGCGGTCGGGAGCCCGAAGCTCCAAGCTGCCATGGACATGGACGCGTGGACGGGAGGAGGAGGAGGAGGAGGAGGACGAGGAGGAGGAGGAGGAGGAGGACGAGGAGGAGGAGGAGGAGGAGGAGGAGGACGAGGAGGAGGAGGACGAGGAGGAGGAGGACGAGGAGGACGAGGAGGACGAGGAGGAGGAGGAGGAGGAGGAGGAGGAGGAGGAGGAGGACGAGGAGGAGGAGGAGGACGGCAGCGGGCGGCCGTGGCGGAGGGCTCGACGGGCCGGGGGGGCCCGCCGCGTCTCCCTCTCCCGGCGGCATGGCCAGCGTGCTGCAGGGCTGCGCAGGCAGGCCAGCCCCCGGCAGGGCAGCAAGAAGCGGCCCCGAGGACAGACCACAGCGATGCCTGGAACGAAACGGCGCGGAACACGAAAAACAAAACCGAGGACAGACCACAGCGATGCCTGGAACGAAATGGCGCTGAACACGAAAAACAAAACCGAGGACAGACCACAGCGATGTCTGGAACGAAATGGCGCTGAGCACGAAAAACAAAACGAAGCCCAACGTTTCAAACGAACGTTCAGAGCGGCGTCGGTGCCCAACGAGAAGAAGCACGAAACGAGGCGTTGAAAACACTTATCCTGGCGAAAGACCAATTGAGGGTGCCGCTCTCGGTGGGCCTCCCTATGGCGCCACGATCCTCGTGAGGGGTGTGCCGACATGGGCGGGGGGACGCATGCGGACCCCGCCGCTGGGGCCTTCGGTGGAGCTCCCTATGGGGCCACGATCCTCGTGAGGGGTGTGCCGAAAATGGGCGGGGGGACGCATGGGGACCCTGCCGCTGGGGCCTTCGGTGGAGCTCCCTATAGGGCCACGATCCTCGTGAGGGGTGTGCCGACATGGGCGGGGGGACGCATGCGGACCCTGCCGCTGGGGCCTTCGGTGGAGCTCCCTATGGGGCCACGAACCGCGTGAGAGGTGTGCCGAAGTGGGCGGGGGGACGCATGCGGACCCTGCCACTGGGGCCTACGGTGGAGCTCCCAGTGAGGCCACGAACCGTGTGAGGGATGTGCCAAAATGGGTGGCGGTCCCCGCATGCAACCCGTGCCACTGGCCTTCGGTGGAGCTCCCTGTGGGGCCACGAACCGTGTGAGGGGTGTGTCACGACGCTGACGATGGCGATGTTGATGACGCCAATGATGGCGATGGTGATCATGATGATGACGATAGTGATGGTGATGACGGCACGCGGAGAGCACAGGCAGGGATGGGAGAAGGGAGGAGGGAGAGGAAAGAAGGAGGCGGGAACGCGGGGCGCTGTCTCTTCAAACCGAGAACCCAACACCAAAGGATGGTTGGGAAAAGCGAACAAAGAAATGAAACGAAAAGTAACAACTAAACGAAACACATAACAAGGCCCAAACCAAGCTATGCAAAGTTGTGGTCGGTCCTTGGAAGCGGCGTAAGAAGAAACGTTCGACTGGATTCGTGATCTGATCTGGGCCCCCCTCACTGGTACGCGCTGCCTCAAATGGTCGCCAAGGGCGCCGCCACGATCGCTGTTTGGCAGCAGCGCTCTGCCTCAAATGGATAACGTCCGCGGCGAGGCCGGCAACGAGTCCTTGTCAGAATAGACAGGAACTGCTGCCGGCCGTCTTCACTATTCTTTCCGGACCCATTTCGATCCTCCAGAACTCGGGCCCCTGCCGGTGCACCACTGGCCCGGGCCTGGGAGCTCGCGGAGCCCGCGGCCCTGGTCGCGTCAGCGTGCGCCAGGCTCCTAGCTGCGTTGGCGCAGCATGGCAGGATTCGCGTCTGCCATGACCACGTGGAGCCTGGTTTCCGACCGCCGCGCGAACTGCTCAACCTTGAAAACCATCACCGCTCTCAGAAGATCCACGGTGGATTGTTTGCAATGTGTTCCCGGAGGGTCTCCCAGGATCGTTGCCAAACCCCCCCCCTCCCCATGCCACCCCGTCCGACGGCCCGCTTTGGCCTCCGCACGACCACCGAACCCAGCCCCTCAAGCGAACCCCCCCCCCAGTGCACCGCGAAGGACAGCCCATGCAACCCCCCCACGCGGTCCACACCCCCACGCTGATTGAGCAACTCGCCGCCGCGTCGAGGCGGCTCGAACCTGCTGTGCTATCGCCAAGTGCCTCCGCGACCAGACGGACCGAGTGGGAGGGGCACCGAGAGCGAGCTCACGAGGAGCTAAGAGTGAGCATTCTCCTCAACTTCATGCTCCTGCTCGTGCTCAAGCTCGTCCTTCTCGTCCTCCTCCTCCACATCCCCTCTTCCTCCTCCTCCTCCTCCTCCTCCTCATCCTCCTCCTCCTCCTTCCCATCCCAATCCTCGCCCTCCCTTGTGCTGTCCCCTTCCTCCTCCGCGCTCGTCTTCCGTGCTCCTTCCTCCCTTCTTCCACCTCTTCCTCCTCCTCCTCCTCCTCCTCTGTGTTTCATCTCATCCTGTTTTTCTACCTCCTCCTCCTCCTCCTGCTCCTCCTTCCTCGTATTCCTGGTATTCCTGAAGCTCATCCTTTCCGTCCTCGTCCTCGCTCTTCTCCTCCTCTTCCTCCTTCTCCTCTTGTTCCTCCCTCTCGCGTGCGAACGAGGCGCGCGCATGGACAAACGCGGCATCCAGGGGATGCCAACGGAGGGGCTCTCTCCAGGTGGCCTTTATCACCCAATCGTGATTCTCGTAGTTGGCGTCCTCGATCACCCTGCATGCAGCCGGATCTCACGCTCTCCTTCTGCTCGCTCCCTCGTCCTCGTCTTCACCGCCGCCATCGTCGTCGTCGTCCTCCTCGTCCTCTCCGTCCTCCCCATCCCTCTTCATCTTCCCTCCTGCCTCCTCGTTGTCCACCTCGTAGTCGTCGTCCTCCTCCTCCTCCTCCTCCTCCTCCTCCTCCTCCTCCTCCTCCGCACTCCTCCGCACTCCTCCGCACTCCTGCGCCTCGCCCTCCTCCCTGCTGCCCTCGGGTCCGGCGTCGCCCCCGGCCGTGCGGGCCCACCGCGGAGCCCGGCCCGCCCGGCCCGCGGGAGCACAAAAGCCCGCAGAGCGCGCCGCCCGCGGGAAGGCGGGGCGGGGAGGCCTGGAGCCCCCCCCCCGCTGGATGGGGGCACGCCCGTGAGCCTCGCGAAGGCCTCGCGAGTGGGACCGCTCCCCTACTTGGCGGCGAGCACAAGGGGGTGGAGGGAGGGGGGAGGGCTTCTTAGAAGGAGCCTGCTTCTTAGAAGGCGCCGGCCTTACATCTGTAGACAAGGCCCCCTCCTTCTAAGAAGCAGGGGTGCTTCTAAGAAGCCCTCCCCCCTCCCCCCACCCCCCTCTGCGCGTGGCTGACCTACCCCCCCCTTCTGTGGTCGTGGGCCTGTGGGCGGGGCGTGGTCGAAGGTGCTGGTGCCCCCCCCTTCTTGCCCCTGTGGGCGTGGGGTGGCTTGTCGTCATCGTCGTCATCGTCGTCGTCGTCGCCTTCGTCGTCGTCGTCGTCGTCGTGCTCGTCGTCGTCTTCTGTCGGCGTCGGCGTCTTCCGCTGGCATCGGCGTCGGCAGCGGCGGCGGCGGCGGTGGCGTCGTCGTCGTCGTCGCCCCTCCCAATGCCATCTACGGGAGGGGGGCCTGTGGAACCCTGGGGCCCGTCCTATCTGGGGCGACGGGGGGGGGAATGAACCCTCGACCCGGGATCACATGTCGATCGGGAGGATGTGGGGAGAGAACATCAGCAGCAGCGGGGGGACAGGATCCATCAGTTTCAAATCGATAGTTTGGATCCAATCGAAACGTGCGTCGGATCGGGCTGCATCGGCAAGGAGCCGAAAGAGAATCGGATCGGCCGCGCCAGCTTGCACACCAGCACCATGCAATCATCGGGCAAGGTCGGATCGCCGGAATATCGGATTTGAATCGGATGAAACCTGCCGAAACAATCATCGAAAATGATCGATCGAATCGGAATGTACTCTGAGGGATCAGGGGATGATGCAATACACCCACCCGTCCCGTTTTGACAATCATCTGTCCTCCTTCCATGTCATGCAGGATGACGGTTAGTAAAAATAAGGGGGACGATTAAAAACATATTTCCCCAATCAGAG